CCAGAATATGAGTTTTATATTATTTTTGTTAATTTTATAATGTCAAACTGTAATAATAACAAATAATTGCTGAGAAGTGATTATCGAGAACTGCTTATCAAAGTTTGCATTGTTGTCAGGCCCCGCCCCACCCCGCCCCCACCCCCCAGCCATGTTGTCCTGCTTTACAAATGTTAAAATCTGGTCACCCTACTTAGTATGTCCCACACAGCGTAGCACCAGACTGAAGGGGCAATGGCCTAAGCACTTTGGTTTTTGTTAACTGGTAACCAATTCTTTGACAAAGATTGCATGAAAGGAAAAGGAATTCTAAGGTCATATTATCAGACTCTGCATGGAAGCAGCCAGCATATTTCCTCCTCCACCCTCTCACCTGGAATTAGCTTTGGCCTACAGGTCACAGTGCAGTCCCCTTGTATTTCCAAGGTGTTTTTTATAGCTCATTTAGCAGACCCTATGTTACATAATAACTTTTATCAGTGACAGATTAAACAGAACAATGGCCAAGCCTTCAGACTTGAAGAGACAGAGGCCAGTATTTACAAAAGGTGGTCTCTATGAACTCCTTAAACACGAGTTCCTGTAATATCCTGCCAGTTAGTGGGTAAGAGCTACATGGCAGCACAACCTAATAGAGGGTTTTAAGGAGTTCCTTGGATACTGTCTAAGGCCACTTAAATAGATCTGGGCAGTGCCTGTACCTCAGTGGGTAGGATGCTGGCCACATACACTGAGGCTGGCAGGTTCGAGCCCAACCTGGGCCTGCTAAACGATGACAACTGCAACAACAACAACAACAACAAAAATAGCTGGGTGTTGTGGTGGGTGCCTGTAGTCCCAGCTATTTGGGAGGCTGAGGGAAGAGAATCGCTTAAGCCCAAGAGTTTGAAGTTGCTGTAAGCTGTGACATCACAGCACTCTGCCGAGGGCAACATAATAAGAGACTGTTTGAATAAATAAATTAATAACCAGATCTGGGCTGCTGGGCAGGATGGTAGGCAAGTGAATTAAATGGTTCCTGAGCAAACACTTTATGCTGGGGCTCCTATTAACTCAACCAAAGGCTTCACATAGTTAATTCCAGCTACCGTTTGGCCCTTACATCAATAAAGTAAAAGTAACTTGCTATTCCAAAGAGACAGCATCCCATCACCCGATAGGATTTTTTAAGTGAACTTTGTGAAGGCAGGGGGATTCTTACTTCTCACTCTATCATCAGCCCTTTTGTGGTGTCTGCAGTACTTTTTTTGTTTGCAGTTTTTAGCTGGGGCTGGGTTTGAACCTGCCACATGGGGCTGGCACTGTACTCCTTTGAGCCACAGGCACTGCCCCCTGCAATACTTTTTTAACGAGTAATTTTTAGGTCTGGTTCTGTAGACCTTTCTACGGGGTGGTTGTTTGGCTGTGTTTTAACTCTGGCCAGGGCACTAAGGTGCATATCTGTTTAATTGAGCTTAAAAAAGAATCCAACATGTTGCTTTTTATGACGAACATTAAGGCACAGCTCAAGCCTTCCTGGGATTATGCTGTAAAAAAGGATGACTACTTGCTCAATTAATTCTGGTTGGAATCAGACAGCCACAGCCTCATGTTGCTCTAATGCTAGCACTCTGGGAGGCCAAGGCAGGCAGATCCCCTGGGCTCAGGAGATTGTGACCAGTCTGAGCTAGAATGAGATCCCGTCTCTAAAAACAGCCAGGCGTTATAGTGGGTACCTGTAGTCCGAGCTACTTGGGAGGCTGAGGTAAGAGGATAGCTTAAGCCCAAGAGTTTGAGGTTGCTGTGAGCTATGACTCTATACAGTGAGACTCTATCTCAAAAAAAAAAAGTTAACAACTGATAAGAAGGCCACAGTTTATCATGCCTTCAAAGACTTCAGGTAGATTACTACTGTAAATGACTTCACCTTGAGCTCAATCACCAACCATTCATTAAAAGTTCATACCTAGGCTCAGCGCCTATAGCTCAACTGGCTAAGGCGCCAGCCACGTACACCTAAGGTGGCGGGTTCGAATCCCCAGCCCGGACCCGCCAAACAACAATGATGGCTGCAACCAAAAAATAGCCAGGCGTTGTGGCGGGCGCCTGTGGTCCCAGCTACTTGGGAGGCAGAGGCAGGAGACTCGCTTGAGCCCAGGAGTTGGAGGTTGCTGTGAGCTGTAATGCCACCGCACTCTACCCAGGGGGACAGCTTGAGGCTCTGTCTCAAAAAAAAAAAAAAAAAAAAGTTCATACCTAATTTCACAACATGCAGATATATGCACATACATATAGGTACAATAGAGATATGTACCACATTTGTGAGAACAAGTATACAAGCACACATTAGATTCACAACACAGGCCTTCATAGGCCTTTTGCCCAAGATATAGCATCTTACAAAGAAGATGGGAACCTAAGAATTTATCTTCCAGAAACAGTACACAAGAGAATTTGCTAAGCTGAGAAAGCTGTCACTAAGAGTGGGGAGGTGTAACATAAAAGATATAGTCATTCTTAAACAAGTTTCTACTGCCAACTCTTCCTAATTAATCTCCCCTCCAGGGACAGTCAACTAACAAGCAGTTGTCTCTGATTCACTGCCTGGAGCTCCTCTGGTCTAGCAGGGCGGTGTCCTAGTCCTACCTTGCAGAGGATGTGTCCACATGGTTCCTGTCACCAATTGATGAATTGCACTTCGGGGGTCTCTTATACCACAGCAAGTTGTTCTTATGGGTTTCTGATTGAGTAACTTGCATTGTCTTGAGATTGCAATGGGTCTCTGTGTTCTGCTCTTCCACTATATGGCCTGGTGAGCAGATTTATTGACTGAACTCCCGTGGGTATGTGGTCACTAAATCTGTAGTCTCCATCTGCCTTTCAATAAAGGTTTAGAATAACTCCTCTCTTGTGACTCTATTTTAGTGCTCTGTTGACATTAATGGAATAGGCATTTTAAGATGACCTCCAAGAATTGATAATCAAGAGGGGCAAATAGGCACTAACTTGGTATTTTGGGGAAAATATATGAATGGAGGGTCAAGTGAATGGAAATCCTTCTCTTCCTTATTTTTGTGACTCTCCTTCTCTTCTAGCCAAAGGGTGTCACTGGCATCACCGTTCAGCATGGCTTTCTGGGCCTAGTGATATGCTTTAATTATTTGAAGCTTATCTTCAAATAATTAGGTGAGTTCTTGTGGTGACTCCATTCAAATAATACTGCAGAAGGCAGTACAGGGGGAAGGGAGAGAGGGAATTTTGTTGGAAGAAATTAATGAACATTTGCCTGGTCTCTGGGGAGAGAACTTGTGATCTAATCAGGAGCTGACTTTAGAAAGACAGATAGTACAGGACTTTCCCAGGGCTTGCTTTGCAAGGAAGGAGCCCTCTCCCCAAACAATCTACTACCAGACACATTCCTACGTGGGTTCAGGATCCAGAAACTGCCAACCTATTAACACTTTTATATAAATACATCTGTGTCCTAGCACTTAGCCAAGTCAGCCTTCAATAAATTTTTGTTGAATTAAATCATCAGAGAGTTCCAAGGGCAGGAGAAATAAAAAGAAAAGAGAAGGAGAAAGAGGAGAGGAGAGAAGAAGAGAAGAGAAGAAGAAAAGAAAGAGAAAGAAAGGAAGGAAGAAAGAAAAAAGAAAAAGGAAGGAAGGGAGGGAAGAAGGAGAGAGAGAAAGAAAAGAAGGAAAGTGCCAGAAACAGGACACTGCAGTATCACTGGCTAAAGGGAGTGGACAGAAGTCTGGGGAGTGGGGTTCAGTTTAGTCACAGCCATTAATCTCTAGTGTTAGTGGTTTAATGTATGAGCTGCTCCATTCCCACAGTTAATCCAAAAATTACCTGGTTCAGAAACATCCTTCTCTCCCTGACCCCAAATGTAGGGCTT